CATTCACCACATCACGTTCAGGGATCTCTTCTTTCAAGGCATCGAGATCCGAGAGAATAGTTGCCACATCATCAAGGTATTGTGTCATAGTTTTGGTACCTTTACGAAGAGTGTGGAGTTTGTCCCGAAGCTGATAAACATGAGCGGTGGACACGGAGTTGTACCGTGCGGCCAAAGCATCCCAGAGGGCAGCAGATGTGGTGAAGCCGCGAGCATGTTTGTGAACGGAGGGGCTGATGACCGCTAGGAGGCAGGCGCGGATCTGTGTGTCAACGATGGTCCAGGAGGTATACTCTGGATTAGGGATGGTTTTATCGTTTTTGGAGATAGTTGGCGCCGGGGCTGCTTCATGACCATCAATCCATTCAAGGAGGAGATTAGCTGAAAGAGCTGTCTGGACATTGAGAGACCATGCCGGATAATTTGTTTTGGTGAGTTTTTCTGGGATTAAGTTGTGGAGACTCCGAAGTAAAAGTTTTACTCCGGAGGGTAAGGACGCCAAAGGATCCGACGGGGCTGCCATGGTGGGCGGCGGTCGGAAAAAAAAGAGAGGCTAGGTTTTTGAGAGCCTTAGCTCCGATACCATGATACAATTTGATAATAACTTATCTTATTGAATATTGAGAGATATGGCCCTATATATAGGGAATACAAGAGTAATCAAAGTACAAGTAGGAATGGGAAAGAATAATCCTAGTAGGAAAGGAAAGAAGTATCCTAATTTAATTATACTTCCTAATACTTTTCATTACATAATTGAAGTCACATTGAAGAAAACGAATCTTGATTGGTAGAAAAATAATAATGGAGAATAATTTTGTATTGAATTGTTTTGGCGATTACAAAGATTCAACCCTCTTTATATAAATAGAGAGTCAAACAAATAAGTAAAGTTCTATTCCTACCATAATTCATAATTCTATTTCTACTATAACAAGAATAGGAAAACTATCAAACCCTAAAACATATCCTAACACTCCCCCTCAAGATGAGAATGAGGATCACGGATGAACAACTTGAATAATAAAACCTTGGAAAAAAATTGATAAATAACTTGAACTTGATCTACTGTGACAACAACGAACGAAGGTGACTGGCCCTGCAAACGAACAATAAATTTTGATGACGAATGACTCCCACGCGGTGACACGGGGACGACTAACAAGCATCCCAAACTTGGAGACTGTGTTGCCGGACTAAGGCGCGACTATGCAACCAACCTCTCAAATTGATATGTCGGACTGAGGCGCGACTATGCGACCAACCTCACAAACATACATGCCGAACATACAGCTGGTTGCACTTAAACATACCAAATAGCAACCAAAAACAATGTCATCAAAACGTCAACAAAATGGCTCGGTCCAAATCTGAAAATCTTCTTCCGTAGAGTACGAGCAAACCAATCCATTAATCACTATAGAACTAGTAACCAACTTTGAGAGCAACTTCATGCCACCAGATTAAACCCAACAAATAGAGCCACGAGACAATTGCAGTGGCCCACCCTATTTAATTTGTGGTTGGAACTTGCCGACCAAATTTGAGGCTTACCCAAATAGGCACAACCAATGAATTCTCCGTCCTTGGACAAACTTGGGATGATGATGATGCCGCTGCCACCGCCGGACAAACTACAAGCGACGGCGGTTACGGAATTGAGACTGACGGATCTGCTGGGCGAAGGAGGGAACTTCCGGACGGAGGGAACTTCTGGTGATGCAGAGACACGCTGGCGAACGGACAGATCTGCTGGACTGACGGAACTTCGGGCGATGGACGTGCTCGCGGCGCTGGACAGACTACGTGCTGGCGATGCAGAGGAAAACGGACGGAAGGGGGAGGGACGGACAGTGCTTGCAGAGGAAGACAGACGAATGCGATGATCGTACAAATTGGCAAGTTCCGATCTACGATGATTTAGCTGCTGATGTTGAACGGATCACACGGGCTATGACAAGAACGAGATCTGATGGTGAAGCCGCCGTCGCCGGACACACCACAGGCGACGGCGGCGGCGGCGGCGGAAGCGGCCAACTAGAGGAAACTAGGATTTTAGGTTTTCCCAAGATTTGGCTTTGATACCATGTAGAAAAATAATAATGGAGAATAATAATTTTGTATTGAATTGTCTTGGCGATTACAAAGATTCAACCCTTTTTATATAGATAGAGAGTCAAACAAATAAGTAAAGTTCTATTCCTACCATAATTCATAATTCTATTCCTACTATAACAAGAATAGGAAAACTATCAGACCCTAAAACATATCCTAACATGATTTGATTTATCTCAAAAAGTGAACCATTACTCCCGAGTCTCTAACCTTTTGGAAATTGTATACTCCATCCGTCCTAAACTTACTTCCCGGGTTGACTTTTCCTCATTTTTAAGGGGTTGTATAATTAGGCTTTGACTTCCCATTTTACCCTTCTAAAAAAAATTGGAATTTGAAAAAAAAGATATGCAATTAGGGAGAAAAGCACACAAAACATTCCATTAAACATTAAACACAAAACATTCAATTTAACATAAACAAGGACAGCCCGCCCCCTTGTAAAGCAAAAATCCGAAACTGCAACCGTTACAGTCGGGAGGGAAAATACAGTCAATCCAAATTTTAGTTTGGAGGGAAACCTTTAGAAATTTCCCTCCAACACAAAAACTGCATATTCTCTTGCAACTACTACACTATAAAAAGCAAACCTTTCTACTTTGAGTAACCCCAATACTCTTCCTTCCTTCTCCTCTCTTCCCATTAGTTATGCCCCCTCCTGTGGCAGATTCTCTTGCTTCTCTCTCTCACCATTCTGCTTTCATTGTTTCCCCTGTTCCCTCTTTCAACCCAAGCCGTCATGAGAATCTGCAAAGTGAACATCAATAAATTACCAAAAGACTTTCCAACGCACAAAGACTATTGTTGAACTCATCCTGCTATATTCAAAAAAGAACACCTCAGGGCACTACACAGCTCAAAAAGGGACTATCAGCAAAGTTGCTGCAGATTTTAATGTTTCAAGAAGGACAGTAGGTGACATATGGAGCAAAGCTAGAAAACAACTACTAGAGGGTGTTGCTATTGATGTGAAAAGAAGACTTCCAGTGAATTCAGGCAGAAAAAGAGTTTCTATAGACATTGAGACCATTGGAAACACTCCTCTTGCCCAAAGGACAACCATTAGAGCACTGGCAGCTTCCCTCAGTATGTCTAAATCAACCATTCATCTTTGTATTAAAAGAGGTTTGCTAAGAAGTCATTCAAATGTAATCAAACCCCTTTTAACAGATGAAAACATGTTGGATAGATTGCAGTTCTGTTTGAATCAATTGGAACCCACTAGCATCCCATGTAATCCCAGATTTAAAACATTTCACAATGTTGTGCACATGGATGAGAAGTGGTTTTTCATGTCTAAAACATCACAGAAGTATTATCTTACCAATGATGAAATGGATCCATACAGAACATGCAAGTCTAAGCGCTTCATAACTAAGGTCATGTTCTTATGTGTTGTTGGTAGACCATTCATATCAGAGAATGGAGAGATTTTATGGGATGGAAAAATTAGAATATTTCCTTTTGTTGAAACTGTGGCTGCTAAAACAAAGAGTAAAAACAGGGAGGCAGGGGTATTAGAAGTGAAACAACTTCTGAGTGTCACCAAAGAAGTGACTAAAGATATGCTGGTAAACCAGGTTATCCCTGCAATTAGGGAGAAGTGGCCCTATTTCTTGGATAGGAACATAGTTCTCCAACAAGACAATGCAAAGCCACACATTTCTGCCACAGATCCAGAGTTTATGGCAGCAGCAAGTGTGAATGGCTTCAACATCATCCTAACTAACCAACCCCCCAACTCCCCAGACCTCAACATTCTAGACTTGGGTTTTTTTAGAGCCATCCAATCACTGAAAGAGAAAACTGCTCCTAAAAATGTGGCAGAGCTAGTTGAGGCAGTTAAGGGTGCATATGCAGCACTTACTCCACAAACATTGAACAAAGTATGGTTGAGCTTGATACGTTACAAATTGTCACATTTTATTTGGTCATACTTTAGTTCTTTATTATATTTTTAATGCATTTTATGCGAAAATAAAGGGTATAATGAAATATTTGGCTCTTTAGGCTACTTGTTATATTTTTACACTAAAATCATAAGTTGGGTAAAGTTTTTATTTCATTCTATGTTTAAATTAATTTCTCTTATATGTATTTTCAGATACACTCTTTGGAATAAAAAATAGATGTTAAGTTCAAGGGATGGAGAATTGGGCCGAGCTTTAATGGAATTGAAGATTTAAAGTCCATGTGAAAGTTTTTATCCAATTGCTATACAAATTCCATCTCAACCCAACCCAATTGAAACCTAAAAAAAAAAGAGACAAACATGATGGATATAAAGAGGAGAGCCGCATCTCAAAGAAAGGAGGCTGGAAACGGAAAAAGACAGAGCAGAAGACCTAGAGCAGAGGGATTTGATCGGCTGCTTCCATCGGCGGCATCGACGGCGTCCTGGAGCAGCGACTCAACAGCCTTGGATTCCCTTCTTCCTCCGATTTCAGAGTTTAATTCTCCCCTTCTTCTTTAATTATGTCAAGTTTTACTATCAATTTTGTTGAATTTTACATTATGTTTGGCTAAACTCCATAGCTAGGGCGAGGATGAAGCTTATATATTCAATTTGATTTTTACTCATCATTTATTTTTCCATACTGATATTAAATGTTTATTGTNTTTTTCTCATGCTTTGAGTAAACCTGATAATTGTTTGACAAGTTAAAAGAGCATATATTAGTTGTGATTTCTTGATGAGATACAATTAATGATTTGAATTTCTCTTGAAACTTTGAAAAATAACATATCTTAGAAATTGTTTTTTAGAGCTTAATTGATATATCCTCCATGATAACGAGACTTGGTTGCGAGATTATCATGCGTATTGAGTTTGGAAAAAATAATGATTGAGTAAAAATTACATTTGAATATATAAGTGGATTCCAAGTCCTAGTTCTTTCTCGTATTTGAAAACCTATTTTTAATCTCTTAATTTTTAGTAGTTAGTAAAATCTTTAGTTTTTGTTTAATTTAAGTTTTCTTTAAAATTATTCACTTTCATATTTAGTTGTTTCTTTTTAATATTAAATTTTGTCCAACTAGATTAGAAATATTCAATTGAATCTAGAATAAAATTCTTCACATAATCAAGTCCCTGTGGGATCGACCTCGTATTTGCGTTGCTATACTTTTGTACGGTTCGTGCACTTGCGAGTAAATAAAATATCACAACAGAGCTACCAACATGTGATGCAGGAAGTAATGAATAATGATGGAGGAAACAAGTACAAGCTACCACATATGGCAAATGACAGATTAGCTAGTGAAGGAACACTGCCAGTGACTCTAAATGTACCCCAAACACTATTGGAGAAGACAGTAAGGGTGTTAAGCAATAGGTCTGTGCAAAATGAAGAGCAAGTATTGCATCAGTTCATGAATGAAGATGGAGAAGAGTTCTCATCTTCAGAAATGAACTGAGTGTGTTTCATAACACCAAGGGTTTTTTTTGTGAATGCATGGGTACATGTTTTTGGCTTTTGAATTTTGTATATGCAATATGTAAGTAATGAAGAGTAGGTTAGTAAGACCTTGTCTTTTTTGTTTCACCATCAAGGCAACCACTCGAAATGTACTCCAGCGGGTTTTCTTTTACTACCACTCGCTTTATGTACCTTAATGAACTACTTGACCTAGACAACTTAATCACATATTCATCATCGCTGTGTATGTAGTATAATGTGTGCAACTACCCATGAAAATGCAAAGAATAAAGAAAGAGTAACTTCACTTTCCACTCTCGATGAGAAAGCAAGCCTGGAATTGGTTGAGCCACGCCAACCCCTTCTTCCAGGAGACTGGAGTGGCTGCCCATCTCAAGACCTGGCTGCTCTTCATCCAATTCGCTCCCAAAGCTTTGCATCTGCTCATCCTCCATCTCACTTTCCTCGTATTCGCTGTCAGCAATGACTATGCCAACTTCAGAGCTGGTCTCAGTGGACTCACTCTCTCTGTCCTCACTGTGTAATGAATCGATAGTCTCTCTCTCTCCATTCTCAAACCTCTCATCTTCGGGCTTCATCCCTTGATAGTATTCAGCGATTTGAGATTCAACAAGTAACTGGATCTCAGAAATCTGAGAATCCATATCAATGTTGGGGATGGAGATTAGATCTAGGGTTTTGTGGGAGAAGAAATTTACACAGACACGAATAGAGGGTGAGACGGAGAGGAGGACACAGAGATGGTGAGGACGAGAGGTGGCGAGGATGAGAGATGCAGAAACGGCGAGATGGAGAGATCTAGATCTAGGTTTAGAGAGAGGAGGCGAAGAGTACATGAGTAGAAGAGATAAGGTGTGGCGTAAATCTGGAGTTGTGGTGGTTGTGGCGTAAATGTGAAGGTGGGGGTATTTTAGAGATTACACACCCTTTTTAAGGGTGTGGGAAGAAAGTTTTAGGACGGGGAAAAAGGGGAAGTGGGAAGAAAGTTTTAGGACGGAGGGAGTAACTTATTTCTGAATATTTAAAAGTGCAATGTTTACCTTCAAACACCTTCAAAGTTATATATGATTTACCCTAAGCATTTAAAAATACACCAAATACGTACACCTGAACAATTGGAAACGTTGCACCGTTAGGTTGGTCCTAAAATGCTAGATGGGCAGTGCGTTGCTCCCACGCATGAGAATTTCGAGTATGATTCATCTATCCTTTGTAAATTTTCCAAAGTACCCTACCTTCTCCAAAATTATCGTCTTTATTTAAATATTAAGGGGCGAACCGTATAATTTCCTAAGACTTCAGAGGTATTTTGTGCACTTTTTAATGTTCAAGAGTAAGTTGTACAATTTCTAAAGAACTCAAAAGTATTTGGTGTACTTTTTAATATTCACGGGTGTAAATTGTGCAATTTATGAAAAATTCGGGATAAATGGTGCACTTTTCTCTTAATTTTTCTATTATTATCTGATGGGGTAAATTAACCACCTGGGCATACTACTCTAGACCGGGTCTAGGATGATTTGCTAAGTTTAGAGAGTGAAACATAACAGAAAACGAAAATTGACAGAGAGGACTGTAGGTGCGAACACCTGTACTCAAATTGTTACTTAGTATGAGAAGAGTATAGTGAGGAATTACACAATATATTCTAGAGAGATAAAATTCGGATCCCTTTAATTGCTGGCTAAGAGTGTTGAATATAAGTGAGCCATAGAGGCCAACTTATGATATCATATCTATATTATATCAAGAATAATAGGCCCTAAATATTTAAGTCGTCTCGAGTGATTTAAACATAACTTTAGTCCATAGAGTAGACACTGTAATAACATAGATGAGAAGTATGACGTTCTGATTATGAGGCTGTTACAAACATAGATGCTACGTATAAAATATCCTTAGTCGAATACTATGATAATACGGACATCATAATATATCAAGACTAATACGTATGAGATGAGATAGCTGCGTCTCATAGACTATAAATAAAGTGTTATCTAAATCTATACGTAGGCAAACATATTGGATATGTTGCTGGATTGACCCGCTATGTGAATAATATATGGGTATTATGTTAATGTGTTGATATTATTCTCATGCGACCATTAGTATAACTATCCTTTTGTTAGAAAGCATTTTCACATTGATGTTTGGTTAATGGGAATGCTTGTTTCCGTTTAGGTTTTGATATTGAAAAACCGTCGGGAACTTGGGGCAAAATGAATATATTCAAAGTCATAGAAAAAGCTCTTTGAAGGCACAAAAAGCACAAGAAAGTCATTGACGTTTCTAAAGACGACAACATTGGCGTTTTGAATACGTTGTCTAAATACTTAGGTTTTTATTGTAACAAGCTCATTCAATTTCTCTAAGTCATGGCTCAAAACAACATATGTTTTTCATGCATCAAATGAGTGTTTTCATAAATGGTTTTAAGTTTCTAAAACCCTTGGTTCTTGCCCAACCAAAACCATAACCATCGGTTATCGGCGTTCGGCTATGGCGCTCGGTTTTCGGCATGGGTTACTGGCATTGATTTTAGCCAAATGGTTTTTGGGTTTTTATCTTTGGTTTTTGCTTCTGGACACATTTAAAGGTTTTCGAAATAATTAGTTTTCAATAACCATAACCTTTGTTTTTTCGGCGTTGGTTATCGGCATTCGGAACTGGTTATCGGCGTTGGTTTTTGACGCCCAAATCAATCAAGTTGTTTTTAATATTTTATGATTGGTTTTTTTCTTCTGGGCATATCCAAATAGTTCTCCAACAAAAACATGTTAAAAACCACGTCTCGTTTTTGGTCTTTTGGTGAAAACCATGTGAAACGACATAAACTTGGCTAGCCGTGGTTTTTACCTTAATGAAGTGGTTTTTAAGTTTTTATACTTGGTTTCTACATAAAATACATTATATAAGAGTTTCGAACAATTTTTTTTCATTTTGGAGAACTTTGGTTTTTGACATCGGTTTTCGGCGTTGGCTGCCAAACCATGGTTCTGGCGACCAGACCCAACATAGATGTTGGATTTTGAACATAGATGTCTGAATAGCGATGTTGGGATTTAGACATCGATGTCTGAACAGCGATGTTGGGATTTGAACATTTATGTTTTGGCTAGGTTGGCTCACATCAGTTTGGGGCAGTAGGTTTTTGAACAACGATGTTCATTATTGAACAACGATGTTTTCAAATGACCGCTGGGCTATTTAAGACAAGATCTTTCCATTTTTGAAAGTCAATCACCCCAACATCGATGTAAACTTCTAGACATCGATGTTTTGATGACCGTTAGCCATTTTTAAAGGAAAGTCAAAGCCAAAACAGCGATGTTCACTTTTTGAATGGGGATGTTAGGCTAAAATTCTGCAGACCAACTTTGATTTGATTTCCACAAATCATTCCATTAAACCCCAATCAACTCCCATCCGTTACACATCATTTTTGGGTATAAATAGGGTCTTTTGGGTCTACTTTTAACCACCATTCCTCACACATTTCATAGCTTTTTATTGCATCATTCCATAAACTTTTTACATAGCTCTTTAGAGCCATTTCTTGAGGAATTGAGTGTGTTCTTGATCTAAATTAGTTTACTCATATTCTACTCTTTAAGGGAGTTTTTGTTCTTGAGTGGTTAAATGTTGTGAACACTTTAAGGGAGGTTTGTTCCCTTGGTTGTACGAAGGAAGGGCATATTCCTTCGGGGTGAAGTCTTGGAGTGCGATATCTTAGAGCAAGTGTATTGAGGCTCGTGGGACTCGAGTTCTTAGGTTGTAACGGTTTGTTAAGCACCCGTAAGCTTAACGGAAGTAGTGTAGCTCGAGAGAGTCTCTCGGGAAGCTGGACTAGCCACACGTTGTGGTGAACCAGGGTAAAATCGGTTTGTTCTTTCCTTACGCTTTTTTATTCCGCTCTTTACTTTATCCCTACAATTTTTATTCCGTGAAAATTTATAAACATTCTCGTGCCTCACTATTCACCCCTCCTGTAGTGAAAGGCACTTATTCTAACACCTTTGACTTGAAGTCATTACGATCTTTGGTAAGTTGAGTTGCATACTTTGATGCATAGTAAATGTCATCTGAAATATTGGTGGATGTACAATTATATTTTGGGTATGCAATGAAACTTAAGTGAAGATGTGAATGACGTAGATAGAATTTACCCCTTCTTTAAATGAAGTATAATATCTTAGGGCCCATTGATTGATGTGACTTGGGAAGTGCATGGTCATGCCAAATAAATCTGTTATTTGAATCTACATGTCAATCGAAGAATCAATAACCATAGATTTAAGTAAAATTTGTTCCATATAGGAGTCAAACATGTGTGTTTTCCCTAAATAGGACTTCTATCTTTTTTTCTTAAATAGGATTTATTTTTGTTCGTGCACCGATTTTTACCCTTCCCGTACGGAAAACACTGCATTTTTTCTTTTTTTATTTATTATTTGATGGGCTTATTTACAGGATAATGGTTAATAACTTCTCCCACCTTTTAGCCATTATCCCTTCAATTGCGCAGCATTTTCTGTAACTTCCGCTGGATTAGGTTTCTACGCCCAAAGCAGAGTCGGCCGCCACCAAGTTTCTTCGTGCCATCACAGTAGCGTAACACCATGTTTGCTTTATTGCTTGCATCTGTATCATCGATACCGGCTGCCATCCATTGTCTGTTGCAATTTGACGGAAAATGGGGCGGTCATGGTGTCTTCTCCTACACACATGCATCTGAGATCGACATTCCGCTTCAGTCATTATTCGCTGATTTGCTAGAGGTCATTCGGAATACGGTACCATCGTCTTATGAAAATTCAGTTTTTAAGATTTCGCACATGTCTAATTCATGTTCAAGTCATGTTGTGATTGACGATGATACGAGCCTTTACGCATACATTCGGTTGAAGAGCATTCACTATGGTATACGCGAATTCCCTTTGTGTGTTGAAATAGGTAATTTTTCAGAAACTGTCGCTTCTAAAGGAGGCTTAGTCCTTTCGGTGTTACACCAGCCTCTTCTTTGTCACCATTCCGTCTCCAATTCAAGCGGCTGCGAAGATACAGAATCAGATTGGTCTCTCTCTGATTTTGAAGCAAACCGAACCTTGTGCATTTGGGACGAAGGCGATATACCATCAAAAATGCGATTTTCCCCCAGTTTTGTACTCGACACATTTCGTGGAGATGAAATACCTGAGAATAATGTCCAAACTAACGAGCTTGATTGCAGTAACTACCTTCAATCCAACCCGTCTAGTTATGTAATGTCTCAGCAGGACATTGCCACAATGAAGGAGATGCACGTTACATCTCGGTTCGATCCAACTAGAATTGTTGTTGATGCCATTTATGCCAGCAAAAAGGATCTTGATATCCATTTGAAGATGTTAGCAATTTCTAACCAGTTCTAGTACCAAATCCGAACCTCCAAAAAGTCCTGTCTTCATGTTGTCTGTGTGGATTTTCCTCGTTGCACATGGGCCGTTCGGGCTGTGCGTTTACCAGGTGTTGAGATGTTCCAGATTCATAGGTGCGTGCTGCCTCCATTTTAAATCACTTTGCATTTGGTTTCTATAATGTCTATGCGATGTGTAATGATTTCCAGTTATTTATGCCCTTTTATAGATTAATCAGGACATTATGATCACTTATGTCACAAACTTCAGCTTTTTACTGACTAAGAATGGCGTTGTAAGTCCGTATCCAATCCATGTTAATGACTCAAAAAATGCTATCTGTTAATGCTTTAATCTGATTACGTCCTAATCAGGACATTATGTTTTATTATATATCAAACCTCAACTATTTTATAGACTAATCAGGTCATTATGATCACTTATGTAACATACTTTAGCTCTTTTACTGACTTTGAATGAAAACATAGGTCCGTTTCCATTCTCTGTTAATGACTACGAAAAATGCTATTTGCTTAATGCCTTATTCTGATTACGTCATAATCAGGACCTTATGTTTGCTTTACGTATCAAACCTCAGCTTTCTACAGACTTATCAAGACTTTATGATCTGTTAGCTAACAAACTTTAGCTTTTTACAGACTTAGAACGACGCCGTAGGTCTATCCCCAATCCATGTTAATGACTGAAATATGCTATTTGTTAATGCCTTTATGTGTTAATGCCGTAACATGTTACTGCCTTATTCAGGACATTATGTTCTTTTATGTACCAAACCTCAGCTGCTAACAGACTAATACATGTTCTTACCCTCACAAATTCTGCATGTTAATCGTATCGTTCATGTGTTTTTTTCACTAGGTACAACCGTGAACATCAATGCCCCATCGATGCATGCCAAGGCAAAACACGTCAAGCTACGTATCACATTATTGCAGAGCTTGTTAAAAACAAATTTTGTGATGCAACAACGAAGCTGTACCCCCCCAATTCTATTCTTTCTGACATGCGTAGGGAGCATGGAATTGCAATGACTTATAAGAAGGCGTGGTTTGCTAAAGAGAAGGCTCTGGAAATTTGTTTTGGGACAGTACAAGAATCATATGCTGCTTTGCCATCCATGTGTTTTATGCTCAATCAGGCTAATCCCGGTTCTTTGATTCAGCTCACTACTACGCCTGACCACTTGTTCAAATATTTATTCATCTCTCTTGCACCCTGGAGAGAAGGCTGGCCCCACTGTGTTCCAGTGCTAATTATTGATGGGTCATTTATGAAGTCCTATTACAAAGGGAAACTTTTAACTGCAGTTACACGGGATGGGAATAGCGAAATATTCCCACTAGCTTTTGGTGTGTGTGATGTTGAGAACGATGCAAATTGGCGCTGGTTTCTATCAAGAGTTAAGCAAGCTCTCAAGCACCGTCCTGTGGAATATATTGTCTCAGACAAGCATGATGGAATTATCAAGGCAGTTAAATTTGTTTTCCCTAAAGCGGGACACGGCCATTGCATATTCCACATATTTGAAAATATCAAGACCAATTTCCATGGCTCCGAAAAGTCGTTATCTTGGAAGTTTTATGGCGCTGCAAGGGCAGCTTCAGAAGCAGAGTGCGACCGATATTTAAAGTATTTGGACAGCAATGACCCCAAGATTATTGGATACCTCAAAGCAGTCGGGAAAGAGAAGTGGGCCAGATCATGCTCGAATCAACGTTATTCTATAATGACCTCTAACCTTGCAGAGTCCATGAACAATATTGATGCTGTCCCACGTGAATACCCAATTTTACAACTTGTTGATTTTCTAATGGGCAGGACCCAAATGTGGTTCCACGAGCGTAGGGAATTGGCGAACTCAACGTCATCAACTTTAACAAAGTTATACGAGTTGGAGCTTAATGAACTACATTCCGCTTCAGCTGTTATGGAAGTAAGTTTTATTCTTTTGTAATATTATTTTACATATTCTCCATAACTTAATTAGGTCACTATCGCCATTGTATTTCATACGTAAATATTATAATAAATGCTTTAATATGATTTAAATTTGAAGACATTAGGACCACATCTGTCGGCTATACTCTTGGCCATTATTAAATCAACTCTATTCAAAAAATAGATTTTTTTGGTCATTATTCATGGAACGTAGTGCCAAGTCAATTAGTGCACATATGCTATACATAACTTCAGGTCATTATCATAAGTCAGTAGGTTACCAAATACTCATTAACCATGCGTCCATGGTCTTTCATTTCCGGCCATTATTTAGTTCGAAATACATCATTACACATATTATGTTGGTCATTATCATATCACCTTCTGTCGTCCTAACCTGCACATCAGTAATTTTACATCAAAATATTTCACACTTAGTGTAACACCCCAATCCGTGTAACCCGGAATTACACGAATTAAGGTGAAACGAGAGTTATATAAAAATTTCTCTTGACATTTGAAAATGACAATTACTTATAAATGTTAAATTTACAGACTCTAGATCCCGACCCATTTAAAAAAATATTTTCAGAGTAATGTGGAAGTACAATAATAATCAAATCATGACACATTTGAAAATCTGACTCAATGCCCTCCGGGAAAGGTTCCATCATTGTCTTCTTGTTACCTACGTGTAGTCAACAAAAAATACAAACTACACGCTCAGCGAAACCGCTGAGTGGTACCACGCTAGAATTGTAGAATGATTCGCAGACATATACATATACAAATATATACGTCCACAAATGTATAATAAATAATATTCATGATATGGCACATTATATCATATGGTAAATTTGATGATTCATGATGATAAATATTTAATGATAATTACATGATGACACATTTAATGAATTTGCTTGTTCTTGATGATGATTACATGAAGCCTAGGTAATCAATGTAATTGTACTTGATGATAATAACATGATGCATGATTCTAACGAGCAAGGACACCCTTGCGCTATGAGATTCACCCATTTGGTACGACGAACTCACGCAGCCTTAGTCTCTCAAGGGAGACTAGAAAGTAGGGGTGGTACTCGAAGCCTGAATACCATGTACGTACACTAAGCTCGGAACGGGTGATGTCGGACTAGTAAGTCCCGCACATCACGCTATAAGAGATGCAATTACGCATGATCTCTTACGCATGCACATGATATGATATGCTACAATATGTGTGATGATATGAGTAATATGATATGAACAATTTGTAAACAATATGAATGAATAAATATACTTTATTTTATTTGGATGAAATCTGATAAAAATATTATTTAATTAAGCTACAGGGCTCGGAACGGTCGACCGTTTGCGTGATAGTCGACCTTGATCTTCATCAGGTCGGATTGGCGGATCACCGTGACGGTCGACTACGGTTGACCGGCGGTCGACCGTTGTTGACAGGGTGGCGGCGGCGGTTCTCGGCTGGGCGGGCGACGGTCGACCGTCCGCCACCGGCGGTCGACCGTTTGGCTGACAGTCATTGTTCGCTTCGAAGTTTTATCACGACGGTCGACCGTTTGCGTCGACCGTTTGAGTATGCGAGTCTTACTCTTGATATTTTGAGTGTCCAAAATACTTCTTTAAGTCTTTTAAACACCTTTGATTAATCTATACATATTGTTGGGTTGATTTCCAAAGTTTATATTTACTTATGTGTATATTAACTTTATGGATTTTGTGTATTTTGATCTCAACATATAGATGACTTATATATGCATCACATATATATTTTGGGATGGTTCCAACATATGGAATAACATATATGTTCATGTATGTATGTGATGAATGATTCGACAAGTCTAACGCAAGGGTACAAACCTTGAAATCATCAGTCGAAACCTTACGGATGAGCGGGAGTGGAAACAACATCGAAATTCACCAACTTTGTCAATCTCGTCACAATTGGACAGCCTGCGGTATTTTGGGCATATCTCCATCGTTTCTTCACGGAATTGCAAACCGTTTGATTCTGCAGATTCCTAAGATGTAAGGCTATAACTTTTGTATAGAAAGTATTTCGTTTTAACATAGGTAAGATAGCGTAAATTGGACCTGAAGTCAATAGAAAGTTGCTGTTCAGAATTTCGGGTATGTCGATGAACAGGAGTCCGACGATTAACTCACTAACTTCAACATTCCAACGCCGAACTTTCTTTGCAATACCTTCCGGATGTTCCTAATAATTGTTAGAGAGTTTATGGTAAGTATTTGGGATGAAATAATATGAACTTTGGTGAAGAAAAACTTGCCAACCCGAGGAGCTCGCCACCACTGGTGCAGTCCCGGTATTTTGGCCATATCTTCTTCGTTACTTAACAAAATCGCAAGCCGTTTGTTGGGTTGGATTCGTAACGTCCGGGGCTACAACTTTGGTATAATAAACATTTTGAGAAAATGAACGGAAAATTTCAGAATTGACTCACAAGTGGACTGATTGTCTTATGCTCAGGATTTTGGACACTTGAATGGTTTTCTTGCTCCTTCTTCTTCTTCCTTAACATACTACCATGGAGTTGGAGTTTTCTTTTCTTCTTCTTGTTGCTGCCGACAGAGAGAGGGAGAGATGGAGAGGAGAAGATGAATGATGGTGATGATGTATAATGATGAAGATGGTGGTGGAGTATTGAAATACACAAAAAAGGCTTTGGAGTTATTATATTAGTGGGGTGTTAGTGGTTGGAGGGTTGAAAATTGGGGTTGTGAGTATCTCCAAGATTGGCTACGTGATTTGGTAAATAAAGTTTTGGCTTTATGCCAAAACTGAACAATTTACTCCAAATGGTACGCGCTTTTTCGTCCAAACTGCTCCGAATTGAAAACGAATTGTGTTTTTGAAATGAGACAGTCAAAATTAGAATTTTGACGTAATCAAAATATTTTTCTGATAACTTTTATTTTTCTTAATGTCTGGGTGTGTCTCTGTCATAAATTAATTTTATAATATGAATGAGATAAAAATATATGAATTATATTCCAATGATGAATATGGTGTTGTCAAGTGTCAAAGATTAAGATTTTTAATCTTATGAAATCACTTTTGAATTGAGTTAAATTTATGGGTCAAAGTTACAAATTTTAATATTTAAAATCGTCATAACTTGAAATCTATAAATCAGATTGATTCATAAAATGTACCGTTGGATTCGTCTCTTCGAGACATATCCATAAAATTAAGTTTTTAACAAAAAGTCATTTTTTGGAAATCCATTTATTTTTGGTCAAACGTATAAATATTCCTTATTGGACAAAAACTACTTTTGTTTTATAATAAATTTTAGGCCATATTTTGTGGCGTTACACTTAGGATCATTGTGTTTTAGGTCATTAACACATTACTTATTATACGTGTCCCTTAGGCATTATTTTTTTAGGCGCACACTCCTTTAGGTCCTTATGATATCACTTTTCTATTGGTACACTCGCACGTCTCGTACATATGCATTGTTTATTATTCTTACCACATCTCCTAAGAGTTCTTACGGTGTTGCTTTGTTTTTCCAGGTAAGGCCAGCTTGTGCTTTCGAGTTCCTTGTCCTTGACAAAAATGGTCGTTCATTTGTGGTGAACTTTCAAAACAGGACGTGCACTTGCTGCGAATTCCAGCTGGACCATTTTGTGTGTGTTCATGTGGTGGCTGCCACTCGTTGTCGAGGCGGTTTGTCTTGATATGATTACGTTTCAACCTTTTACACCACCACTGCATGGAGAGCTACATATTTTGGAATCATACAACCCATCCCATCTAAAGAATCTCGGGTTGTTCCCGATGAGGTCGCACAGGTTGTTTGCCACCCACCATCATGTGACAAACGTCCCCCAGGAAGGCCCAAGAAGCAAAGGATCCCGTCCAAAGGTGAACATGCTAAGCGCCAAACTTGCTCACGATGCAAATATACGGGCCACAATAGGAAGACATGCACTAATCCCATTACTTTAACTAGGGCTTGACTCCATATCAAGACATTACGAAGAAATTTGTTTTTTAATTCGTTTATTTGTTTAGTCTACTTTTACCATTCTTTCATTGATTTTTCAAAACAATATCTCAGTTAATAGTATTACACATTATGAATTCATTTAACACATACATTTTAAATCATTTTGGTCATTTTTTATGCTAGCGGTTTGTCATTCCACCATTTACATTACGGATATTTGCTTACACACTTAAGCATAATGACTTCCTCAACATATGACCATTTTTTTTAATTACCCAAGGAATGATTATTGTACATTTTCTACTTGTTGCTATTCAAGTACATGTTAACCAACACTGTACATTATAGCTCCTGTTAGACATTATTAGGTAATATTTAAGAAATTTAAAAATTACGTACTACAATAGGAGATGTGGCCAAAAAACACCATTTATCAACACCGTTGGCATGTCTTTTCATGATCATCCATATCCCCTACATCACACCTCATCATCAGAAGTTCAGCCATCTTCACCACGAACATCCCACAACTTGACCTACGCCAATCCAAAATAAAACCAAAACATTATTAAACATGGAAAGCATAATACATTACACAGCTCAAATTATATCATACCCGTCGTTCTGTTGGGGGCAGCACGGTCCAGCTTCAACCGCTAAGACATCATCTCCCACTGGACCTTCCTCCCATCCGTCATACAGGCCCAACTTATCCATTATCTTAGGCAGGAACATTTGGAGGCATGGCAGAAACGAGTGCAGCTTCCTTTTTGAATCATTTCTCCTGATGCTCGAGTCATATATCCTAATTAACTTCTGCTTAATGTCCAACACCAACAATGTCCAGTGGTTCCTAGTATTCAGCGGCATGTATACAAAATCTGCACTCTTCCACGGTCGACCATATTCCATCTTCCCTCCTATGATCGTGCTTCTTACTGAATTATTACGCATTGCTTGCTCAATGGTTAGTTCCTTCTTCATATACCTCCCAAATAATGTCTTCAACAATGCAAGAAATGGGGTGTCTGTTGTCATGTACCGCTGCTCCAACCCAAACTCTACTCCCTTCATTCTAAGGTAGTAGAATATGACATTTGGGTGCTGCACTTAAAACCAAAACATGTGTATTAGTCTCACAGTATGCCAAGTTATGTTACGACCATACTACATTAAGTCAATTAATGTTTACCGTATCTGAAAGCCATCCCCAGGGGGGGGGAAAATGTTGTAGTACCAGGTCTTTGTTAGCGTGTCTTCCTCGCCATAATGAACCTTATACTCACTTGGGTCAAGCACATCCGCCTGGGCCCCGTACTTGCGCCCCGATACTCTAAGGTGATTCTTTAAAAGTCCTTGATACATGAACTTCTCAACCTTCATTAACTCCTCCTGAGCAGGCATCTCGTTCGGGTCTGATGGGAATGGACCCATGAACTCATCTTCATCCCCCCCAAATTGCACTACACGAGCACTCTCTGTTCTCACCCTTTTTGTTTTACGTCGCACTACTAAATCATCAGGAGTGAACCGGTCTGGACACTTCAAGGGCTTCTTTTGATTTAACATCAAATCTGTTGGTGCCTCACTCGCCATCGGTGCTTCATACACCTGTGAATCATTCAAAATTTTAACACTATGGGATAATGTGTAGTATAATTCCTCATTAAGGTAATGGCTAACGGTTATCAGTGATATTCAAGATTTATACACTAAAAGCATACCACAATCTGTGTACATGGTTCTTCATTCACCACCTCATCATCATCTTCAGAATCCTTAACCTCTTCACACACGGCCCTTAGCAAATCACAGCCAGTACCCGACCTCAACACCTGTCCATAAAATTTATCGCGCATGATAAATATCGGTCATTCACATGTCTGTAAATTACATATTACAGCCAATAACACATTCCATTTACCATGCATATTTTAAATACGTTTTGTATCGACCATCTTTTATTAAGCTAAAATACGTTTACTGCACCACACATGTATTACAGGTCATTAAAACTATGAAAGTGAATATTTTTACGCTAGGTTGTTACATTATTTTCCTTTGAAGTCATTAAGCCTGCTTTCCTATCTATGTGCATTGGTCATTATTACAGCACGTACAACCATACACACTCATCTTTGGTCATTAACCTAAAACTTAAGATGGGAGACCTTAAGTCCACTGCCCTTACTTTAGTCCCTTAATTTTGGCCATTAGCCATGCTTTTCCCAAAAGTATACGTATGGTCATTATTATTCTAGAAGCCGTCTAGTACCTACAGTTTACCAGGTGTTGAGATGTTCCAAATTCGTAGGTGCGTGTTGCCTCCATTTTAAATCACTTTGCATTTGGTTTCTATAATGTCTATGTGATGTGTAATGATTTCCAGTTATTAATGCCCTTTTATAGACTAATCAAGACATTATGATCACTTATGTCACAAACTTCAGCTTTTTAATGACTAAGAATGGCGTTGTAAGTCCGTATCCAATCCATGTTAATGACTCAAAAAATGCTACATTCTTACAGCTAGGTTGTTACATTGTTTTCCTTTGAAGTCATTAAGCCTGCTTTCCTATCTATGTGCATTGGTCATTATTACAGCAGGCACAACCATACGCACTCATCTTTGGCCATTAACCTAAAACTTGTGATGGGAGACCTTAAGTCCACTGCCCTTACTTCAGTCCCTTAATTTTGGTCATTAGCCATGCTTTTCCCAACCTTATACGTATGGTCATTACTATTCTAGAAGTCGTCTAGTACCTACAGTTTACCTTATTTTAACAGGTTATTTGTAACGCCAGTTTTGTTCAGACAACACATCCACTCCCACTTACCAGTTCATTAACACAACAATCAATTTCTATGCAACAGGGACATTAACGTAACACTCAAACTCACCTGATCCTTTGGATTCTTTTCATTCTCATCCATGTTCTCCTCGGTTGGGGAAAAAATTGAAAACAACTCATATCATATTAAAGAATGTTACAGCATTAACCTCTATTATTTGCGATGCGGTCTCGACGTTTTCGGTGAATCCTGCAACATCTACTTCAATTTCCTACAAAGGTCATTATGTCAAATATGTATCAATTAATAGTCTTGTATTATTTGCATGCCTAAAATTGGATTACTGTTAATTACTTACATTTTCCTGACCATTCATAACAGAAGCAGACACTTCAACATTCATTGGTGATGCTTCTTTGGGTTCATCCACACCAGTACATGGAACATCCTCAACAGCCACGTCGTTGCCCACATCGCTCGACTGCATGGCGTCTTTAACCATATTCGTCAAGCCCTTTTCGCACTCCTGTTTGTCCACATTTTTCTCAGAATGTTTCCCCAGCCCCAATCCATGTAATGACTTCAACCATCTGCCCTCAACTTCTTGTGTACTAATGTCATTCAACGGATCGTGAAGGTCATTACCACACGAACCCAGTTGGGTCCCAATCTCAGCTTCCACATTGAGATCCTCCTCCCAAACATCATCGGCCACATCATATTCTGTGGCATCATTCTTCTCTTGACTCTCAAATCTTAAATCAAAGCTAGGCATGTTGTTATCCTCTGTTGTGCGCTTTTTACTCGTATGCCATCGCTTACCAATTTTCTTCCTTGATATATACCCATTCAGAAGACGGGTGTGGGCATTTAATGCAATTCTCAACTTAGTAACTTCCATGCGCATCTTCAAGTTTCGCTTTTCCATAAGCACTATTGTTGTCATTATATCTCTCAAGGAAGGTTCATTCTCACGAGTGTCTCCCAAAATATTTTTTGCTTTCTTTGGTGTCCCTCTTAGAGTACCGCTGCCTGACCTCTCCATCTTCTTCTCCATCTTCTTCACCCGTGCCCTCTTCCGAATCAAACCTTTCTTTTCTCCTTTCGCTGAACATTAATCTCTTCATGATTCATTGAGCCCTCACATCCCCAATGTAGCTTTCCTTTCAGTTTTCTTCGTCCAGCCCCATACGCTTCATCGACGCGCTCACCACCGCCATTGTTACCCTTACCTTTCCTTGAATCTCCAACTGAGAATAACATTGCAATGTTCTCTTTCGCTTTCTCCGATGTCGTGGCAACCATCTCATTCCATTCAACACTTTCCTGCAGTGAATAAATTAATGTTAGTTATTTTCAAATTATACTAAAGCATTAACGTATCTGATTGGAAAGGAATCTGTTTCACCTCTTCCGTGCCAAAAATTGAACCCTCCAGCAGGTCATGCATTGGGCACACCCCCGTCTCCCATCGCAATGCCCTTGGCCACAATCTGCTCCTGTTCTCTCCCACAACGCATATTCCATTTTCTTTCAAAGAAGGGAAAGTGTCAAACGCCCAAATCTATAGTGGAAATAGGAAGCCCGGAAATGTAAAACGGCAATGTTCTCCCGTGTTGAGTATTGATGAACACTTGCGTAAGCTTTCCACCATGTCATTCCATATATGATCTCCCCACTGGAAGTCATTGAATCGGTTGAGATCGTCAACAAGATGCATGTACAGTGGTGGAATCTTTGTCAAACCTTGGTTACCCACCACATGGTTTACACTGATGTTCAGTAAAGCCAATTTTACATCATCCAACCGTCCCTTATCTCTTCTATTCGTGATACCTTTGAACACATTTTCAACTTCTATACGGCTCACGCTCATTTTCCCATTGAAATACCTTGTGTTGATGTCGTTCGCCTTTTCCAGGCCAGTATCTTCAAACTCACTCTCCTTTCAAAACTTCAACCCAGTAATCAACGCAAAATCCGTCTTCTTAAACTCCACTATCCTATCTCCAATGTGAAACTTTAGTCTATCTACCTCTCCACTCCTCTTAATGGGCTCCACATGATTTAAAGCTAATAAAATCAACAATTGACCATTAACCCCACTTTATTTTCCCAAGTTTGAAGAAAATACCAAATGCAGAATCCTTTAGTTCAGCCATCTCTGAATCACTAACCACATCTTTAACAGTAGTTGAACCCACACAAAGATTACAAAAACACGTGACCTTAATATCAATTATCTAAATGGGTATATCTTAGAGTTCTTCTAGATACCCCTAATGTAACGTCACAAAATAAGGCCTAAACTTTATTATAAACCAAAAGTAGTTTTGAATATCATTTCGATCCAATAAAGAATATTTTTACGTTTGACCAAAAATGAAGGGATTTTCAAAATAATGACTTTTTGTTAAAAACTTATTTTTATGGATATGTTTCGAAGAAACAAATCCAACGATACATTTTATGAACCAATGTGATTTATAGATTTCAAGATATGATGATTTTAAATATTAAAATTTATAACTTTGACCCTTAAATTAAACTCAATTCAAAAGAGATTTCATAAGATTAGAAATATTAATCTTTGACACTTGACAACACCATATTCATCATTTGGATTTAATTCATATATTTTTATCTCATTCATATTATTAAATTAATTTATGACTGAGACAGACCAGAACACTGAAAAATAAAAGTTCTCAGAATAATATTTTGATTACGTCAAAATTCTAGTTTTGACAGTCTCATTCCAAAAATACAATTCGTTTTCAATTCGGAACAGTTTGGGTGAAAAAGCGCGTACCGTTTGGGGTAAACTGTTCAGTTTGGACAAAGTTCCAAAACTAAATCCTAAAATATCTCCCAAAATCTCGTAGCCTCCATCTCCCAAATCTTTAGACACCCACTACATCACAATAAATCCAAACAACCTTTCTCATTATAATGTTCCACCTCCACCACCATGATCATCATCATACACCATCATCATCCATCCATAATTTCATATTCTCTCCATTATCTCTCTGTCGGCAATCAAAGGAGGAGAATACACAGCAACAATACTCCATTTTTTGTGCTAAGGAAGAAGAAGAAGAAGCAAAAAACCATCCAAAATTTCAAAATCTTGAGTCCAAAAACGCAGCAGCAACTTCAAAGTACAACAAAACAAACAACAACAAGCCAGTTGAATCCCACTACAGTAGCGTCTGGGGAGGGTTGTTGATTCAACAACAACCCAGTTGAATCCCACTACTCGTCGACCGTTCCGATCCAAGTAGCTTAATTAAATGATATGTTAATCAAGTTTCAACCAAATAAACTCATGCATGATTATATATTCATATTGTTTACAAATTGTTCATATCATATCATTCATTTTATCATTCATATTGAAGCATATCACATCATATGCATGTTAGACAAGGCGTGCAACTCTAGAGGGGGGGGGGTGAATAGAGTTGTTGAGAATGGTTACCGATTTTCGCAGGATTAATAATATAAACGTAAGTGCAGCAGAAATAAAAGAGAGAAGGCAAAGAACACACCGATGTATACTGGTTCACCACGTCGTGGCTAGTCCAGTTCCCCGAGAGACTCTCTCGAAGCTACTACTACTTATCAAGCTTCAATGAGTTCTTGACAAACCGTTTACAAACCGAGAACTTGAATCTCACAAGCCTCAACACAACCGCTCGTAGATGTACCCTCTACAAGACTTCACAACCAAGACTTAAGTCACATAAATCTTGAACAACAAGAAGAACAATCTTCTTCAACCTCTCAACAATAGCTCTCAAAAGAGTAGAATGAGAAAAATGTTTAGCTCTATGGATGACAAGAAACCTCTCTTAAAAACAAATATTTTTCTCTCAAAATGATATAAATTTGAGGAAAGATTGATGGAGGATTAACACCTCAAGAATGGGGACTATTGGAGGGTTTCTTGTTCTGAAAAATGACCAAGGAAGTGTGTTTAAATAGGAGGTGAAGAAATATATCCGTTGGTCCAAGAAAAGAAGCTGGGATGAAAAATGCAACATAATAATCGATTAATGCATCACCATAATCGATTAATGCATCATAAAAATCGATTAATGCAAGTGAAAAAATCGATTAATTTCACCAGAGCTAAAATCCTTCTGCGCAAAACAGTGATAATCGATTAAAGCCAAAGGTGTTAATCGATTAGTTCCTTCTGGACGCGATAATCGATTAATTCCAGAGGTAAAATCGATTATTGCAACAATAATGCCCAGACACGAAGAACACAAGCATGTGGGCGAGGTGAAGGACAAAATGGAGTTTATGTGATTGTTTCCAACAAGAATATCAGGGGTAAGGCTCCCCATCACCTCAAACATAATTCAAAAATAAATTTTTTAACAAATGAAAGATATTTGGAGTGTAGAAATTGAGTCCCAAAAATATTTTGTGTGTCTAACGAAATACACGAAAAATATTTGAATAAAATAATTTTGCTTACCAAAATTATTTATTAATATCAAAATAAATATTTTGATAAATGTTTGACACAATTTTTGTAACTGACTCAATAAATGTATTTTGAACAGTTAAAAGGATTTTTCAACTAACTCCAAAAATAAATATAATTTTTATTTTAACTCTCATAAAAGTAATTTTGGAGAGAAGATATTTTTGTCATCCTTACAATATTTCCTAAGAATCAAATAAATAAAAAGTCTTCAGAAATCTTCTACACCTCCAAGTCCTTCGTTAGGCACTCCGAAAGCGTCTCGGACTTCAACAAAATCCTGTGCACCTTCTTGAATACTTCAAGGAAAGGCACTTCAAGTCTTCGTGTTTGTCGTTGTAGCACTTTAATCTTGACTTGAATAAATTGTGTTTGTCAATTATCAAAACCTGTGAGTCAACACTAAACAACACAGAAAGGGTTGAACTCATGCATTCCAACAATGCATGCGTAAGAGATCATGCCTCGTGCATCTCTTATAGCGTGATTGTGCGGGACTTAGCAGTCTCACATCACACGTTCAGGCTTAGTGTACGTACATGGTATTCAGGCTTTCGAGTACCACCCCCATTTTTCTAGTCTCACCTCATTCGTGAGACTAAGGTGGCGTGAATTCGTCGTACAACCTGGGCGAATCTCATAGCGCAAGGGTCGTCCTTGCACATTAGTTTCATGCATCATGTTATCATCATCAAGTTCAATTATATTGATTACATAGGTGTCATGTAATCATCATCAAGAACAATTAAATTAATTAAATGTGAAATCATGTTATCATCATTAAGTACAATTATATTGATTACATAGGTGTCATGAAATCATCATCAAGAACACTCAAATTGATTAAATGTGTCATCACGTAATTATCATTAAATATTTATCATTATGAACCATCAACTTGACCATATGATATAATGTGCCATATCATGAAGATTCTTATACATTTTTGTGGACGTATATATATGTATATGGATATGTCTGTGATTTATTCTACAATTCTAGCGTGGTACCACTCAGCGGTTTCGCTGAGCGTGTAGTTTTTATTTTTCGTTGACTACACGTAGGTAACAAGAAGATAATGATGGAACCACTCCCGGAGGGTAATGAGTCAGAGGAGATGCAGGGATTGCAGGCAAATGTTTGATCATCAAAATTTTAAATGTGTCATGATTTGACTATTATTGTACTTCCGCATTACTCCAAAAATATTTTTTAAATGGGTCGCAATCCAGTTTCAGTAAATTTAACATTTATAAGAAATTATCATTTTCAATTGTCAAGCGAAATTTTAATTTAACTCCGGTTTCACCTTAATACGTGTAATTCCGGTTTATAAGGATTAGGGTGTTACACCTAATAATACAAATCATTTCATATTTATCAATGTATTCATTTTACTCATGGTTCAATCATAAGTAATCATTTTAATCAGTATATTCATCATTCATAATCATCCATAATAATCATTCATCATAACCATCAATCAACATAACATCCAATAGCAAATAGCGGCCTAGATTCGAGTGTTAACACCCTAGCTTACCGTCATGCATCACATAACATTTTATTTGTTAAAAACATCATTTTCATGGTGAAAAATTATCTTTATATTGTTCATAATTAATTGGTATTAAATATAGGATTTTTAGAGCTCAAAAATAGCATTTTCGAAAGTATTTTCGGAGCAAAATTTCGGGGGATCAATCCAGCACTCTGGATCGATCCATACTAGATAAAACTACACCTAGGGGATTGATCCACCCCCTAGATCGATCCACCCACTGTGTTTTTCGATCACTGTTCATTTTCTTCTTCCTTTCGGGTCCAATTTCGAAAACACCATTTTTAGCCGCCAAACTTTAATTAAATTATATAGAAATGTTCTACAATATTCATAGATCATTTTGGTATCATTAATTCATAGTTTTAAAATCAAATTCAAGGTTTATGGTTCTTAGTTCTTCAAGCATTTCAAGCACAAAACTCAACCAAACGACCGTTTATGAACGTAGAAATGATCTATACGAACATTCTAGTCACTGGATATATTTACGGGCTTACCTCGAAGATTAATGAAGGTTTTGGAAATTTTCTGGCAAAACTTTCGGCAACGATTACTCTTAGCTCCGACGACCTCACACCAAATTGACAGCACCACTGCACTCCTCTCTCAAGAAGGAACAAAATAAAAGAAAGAATTGCCAGAATCGATGAAGAATGGAGGGAGTTGTGTATCCTTTTATAGGAGTAGAGAGGAGAAGAAGCCAATGAATTGAGTCACTAATGACTCACGATCGGCATAGTGCGCAGGATGGCGGATTCGTAGGATTTTACACGTCGTTCCCTGATTGGGACCAATTTTGGTTCCAACCGGGGTACACTTTTCAGTACAACTTTCTCCGAATTGAATTTCGTTTGCACCATTGCGATCGGACAGTTAAACTCTATCCAACGATATAATTTTTATATTTATTTGTAATACTTTTTTCCAACATCATATTTTTGGGTGGTTGACATTGACAGAGTTAAAATTGATTTTATTGACCTTTATCATAAAAGGTTCTCACATTTAATTTATATTACTTATTCTCATGATTTATTTTCAATAATTAACTTCAAGTTTCACATCATAAACAATTTCTCCATTTACTCTTAATTTGGGTCTGTACACAGGTTCACAATCAAGATCACACAATAAGTCAACATATTGGATTTATCTTCTAAGAGATTTATCCAGATTGTGATATTGGGTATCAAAACACATTTTATTTTGGTCAAAAGCCCAACATTAATTTTTTTTAATCACACCAAATTTGATTAATTGAATAATTATTCATTAATAATTTTAGGGTATGTTTTGGGGCGTTACAATTCTTCCCCCCTTAAAAGAAATTTTGTCCTCGAAATTCTTCTAAGGTCCACAATCAACATCTTTGTTGTATTCACATTTAATCATGATCGCGTCATGTTCATTTAGTGAAATCATGGTAACGTCGTTATCTCTACAGATACGTATTCTCAAACTGTTGATATCACCAAAACTCGTTCTATCTTCAAGAGATTAACAATTTTTTATTAAGTAAGGCATTCAGTGATCCTTCAGTATCGACAAATAAAGTTCCTTCATAGTGTATAACATTGTATACTTGACATATTTGCACATAATTTCGTTCATTCACGATTCTCGTTTGTACGTCATCGGTCAACAGAACTCTTTTCTCGATTGAAAAGTTCTTCAATAGTCTTTGTACCATAGGCATTGTTGAAATTTTGGAGGTTATATCAATTCATACGTCGCAACGTAATCTTTCAAGTTACTCAAGGGGTCGTTGTCTTAGGGAATTAGCCATTTTGACTTTTCGTCTCGGGTTTGAACGTATTTTAGGACAGCGAATCTAAATGTTCATGAGTCTCGAAATGTCATATCGTAAGCAGACTGTAGTATTGGTGAGTTCGTGCTCGTCTATAGGTAATCGAAATTACTATTTTAGAGAATCCACTTTTTTGTACATATTTCGGCTTAAACAGATGCTGACAACTGTTTCTTTTAGTAGTCTCTCGGTGCTGATTTCAGTAGTCTTCCGAGCAGCTGTCTGATATATCTACAGACTATTGTTTAAAAACAATTGTGTAAAATGGTTGATGACAGCTGTTTTGTAATGTTTTAGAGTACCACATTTTAGTGTTGTCCCCGTATGAGTAAGACATCTGTTTGTTAGAGTTAAAGAAAACTGTGATTTTTTGTTGTCTATCTATAATGAATACTACTGTTGTTTTTAACTTCAGACTCCTATTTCTTGGTGTTGTCGTTAAACAATATAGACATCTACTTTAAAAAGTAATTGAAAGATTTATCAGACTGCTGCTCGGAAGACTACTAAATAAAAATAGCATCAGACAACTGTTATCTTTTGTTGTGTTTCTAGAATATGGACTACTAATTTTGTTGTATTTTAAACAACCGTTTCTTTCAATTGTATAGTGTTCAATAACACTGCACTTTTTTGTAGTTGTCCTTGAAATATTCAAACTATCTTTTTACACACTAGTCAGATTATAAATCAGACTACTGCACCGAAGACAACTAAGTATGTTTGCATAAAACAACTGCTATTATGTGTTGTAATTGTAAAATGTAAACAACCTTATTTGTTGTATTTCATACAACTGTTTTTTTTATATTGCCTAACGTTTATTAACAATACAGGTTTGTGTAGTCATCCTTTAAAGATTTAGAAAACTGTTTAAATACATTGTAAAGCTTTTTGAAAGACTACTATATTTCAATTTACAATTATATTTAATAATTGAAATTTATTTCAATTCTAAAATATTGATCATGAAACAAAAATAAATTCCAAAATGTACAATATATTAAATAATATCTAAGTACATACAATCCAAAATCTTAGCATCCAATAATTTAATATTTACATAATTAAAGTCACATTGTAATTGTCCATTGACCATGCCTAATTTAATTATTTGTCTCCTCAATAACATCCAACATTGAATCAGGGGAATCTAGACCTTCAATTCTTGACACCGTTGTGACCATGATAATCTGCAAGCGAACATATAGTGAGTTGAATCACCAAAAGATTAACTTAACCAAGGAAAGAAAAGAAAAAACTCGCATCGAACCCCTAACTGCTGGGCCAATTGTTTTGAAAAGAGACATTGCAGGCATTGAAATCCCATTGGCAGCACCTCTCTGCTTCTGGCACTGAAAATCATTTTATTTTTTTTTAAATTAAGGGGTAACCAACTTTAGCAAGCCCTTTAAGAAATAATGCCATTTTATGAATTACTCCGTATAAGAGTTTTACCATATAAGAATACAAAAGTTAAAACCAAAACATACTTCCTAAAATGACACTTAGCTCAGTTTTGGAGTATCAATAATCCCGCAGTGCTCGGTTTTGCACTAATTTCATTTTTCAACATCCAACCAACAATAATCTCATAACAACAACACCAATTGGTCATATTAACATTCTAAACATTATCAAGCACATTAATCCATCAACATTCTAAAATGCATGCATACTAACCTCGATTCATCGATTCAATTCAAAAGAACATCATTCAAATTCCATCGCTGAAGTAACCCCGTCTGCTGCCCGAAGCCAAGCGCGTTGCTGCCCGGATTAAAACATCTCTGTTCGTTTGTCTACAAAAAAAGGTTACAAAAGAACTTCAAAGCCGTTACGAACCTTGCTACACTTAGAAACCTTTTTTATATACTCAAAGCTATTGCAATATATAACTGATTCACATAAAGAAAATTATTGGAAAAAAATATTAAGGAAGGTATAATAAACCTTACAGCAGCTTCCACATTGACAGGGGACTCATCATTAGGGCTTGAAAGCATGGAAATTATACTCAAAACGATACTCGGGGTTCGTCGGTCTCGCTGGTTCAATTCACGGCCAACACCCGGTCACTACCATGGCAGATATCGCCGGAGTCGCTGCCTAGACGCCGTCGCCGGCCTGCCGTCTAGACGCCGTTGCTGCTATTTTTGCCGGAGCAGAGGAATCTCGCTGGACTCCCCACTGTTTTGCCGGAAAAGATGAAGGCCACTCCCCCCCTTCTCCCCGCTGCTACCCTCGTCGCTGGTGGAGATCACCACCACCACCCCTGTGTCTGATCGGAAATTCTCCGCCAAAGATGGAGGTCGCTCGCCGCTGACCAATTGTTGCCGTCGACTGGCCTCGCGACATCTCCCTTCCCTATCGCTGCTGGACTTCGCCGGAACAGAGGGAGTCGTCGGAGGCTACTGCCCTCATCCAATTCGTTGCCTCTGTCCGTGTTGCTTGTGTCATCGTTGGTTGCAGATGCAAAGGGGGCCGTCGGCGATGTCGTGGTGGCGGGGGACAGTGATAGGAGTTTGTTGGAGAAGGAAGGTCTAGTGGCGGCGTGTCTCGATCGGGGAAGAAGGAGGCCCAAAACTAATGCGTGTAAAGAGTATATATATGCCTAGGGTTTTGCTCTCAATTTAAAATAATGTGTGTGAATAAAACACACTTTTCTGCCCAACTTGCTCCGAATTGAGATCTGTTTGCATCATTGGATTCAATTCGTCGATCCCTACCCAACAGTATAACTTTTATAATCATTCAACAAGCATATATATGTTCCACCTTGTCCATCTTAATTCTCTCGATTAGTTAGTACCGATCAGTCTTTTACTTTAAATCTTTATAAATACAATCAAATTAGTTACGTTATATTGAGACGATTAAGATCTCTAAAATATCTTTTAATTCTTTAAAAGAATAGATTGTCGTAAATAAATAATTCTTATTTATTTAATTATTCATTAATTTCTATGTCAGTTTCTAGAACATTACAAATTTAGCAAGAATCGGATTTGGTTAGGCGTGAATAGTCTCACGATTTGGTTGGGCGTGAATAGCAATTTTACTTTTTATTTTTTTAAGTTTTTTACTTTTTTATTTTTTGTTGTTCTATTTTTTTTTTCTTTATTTCATCTAGTTTTGAATTTTACGACAAAATTTATAAACTTTAACCACTAAAATAAAATTGACTTTAGATATTGTTACCAAATAATTTTATATTTATTTTATAAAATACTTTCAAAAAATTATTATTTCTAAAAGATTATTGTATTTCAAAAAAACACGGGCAGATAAGGTTATACCAAGTCAAATCACTGCATCTCAGTTTAAAATGTTTATATGTTGTTTAGATGATATCTAATAGGTCGTGTCTTGTTTGCCTGATTTAATCTATAAATGCATAAGATCAGATCAAATTAGATTGAATTCAAATTAAATTCAAATCCAATAAGATCAGATATAATCTTAAAAAAACATCGAATCAAATCAAATTCAAATCTAGTAAGATCAGATCAAATATTAAAAAAAATCAATTTTAATTGTATAGGTCGTGTCATATTTGCCTGATCTAATCCTTAAATGCATCATATCAGATCTAATTAGATTGAATCAGACCAAAATAGATCTGATCAGATCAAATCAAATTCAAATATATTAAGATTAGATCAAATCTTTAAAATAAAACACTTTAATTATATAGGTCGTGTCTTGTTTACCTGATTTAATCTATAAATGTATAAGATCAGATCAAATTAGATTGAATTCATATTAAATTCAAATCCAATAAGATCAGATATAATCTTAAAAAAAACATCGAATCAAATCAAATTCAAATCCAATAAGATCAGATATAATCTTACAAGTATTGATAACTGAACATGTTACTCACACTGATCTAATTCCTTAGGATATTCATACTTTTGACCGTATAAGATCTTACCGGTACTGATAACTAAACTGGTTACTTGCACAGATCCAATTCTTCTAAATGCTCATATTTTTGGCCATATAAGATCTTACCGGTACTTATAATAACAAGGTAATTGCGCAGATCCAATTCTTCTAAATACGTATACTTTTGACCTAATAAGATTTTAGAAGTAGTGATAACTGAACTTGTTACTCACACTGATCCAATTTCTTAGGATACTCATACTTTTGACCGTATAAGATCTTACCAGTATTGATAACTGAACTCGTTACTTGCACAGAACCAATTCTTCTAAATACTCATATTTTTGGTTATATAAGATCTTATTTTAGATCTCTCCGAACAACTTTTTTTAACATTTCAAAACTCATACTTTTTCCGTCCCAAGAAGAATTTCTTACTTTGATTAACGTGTAAAACCTCGTGGTTTTTAAAATCATATTTTTTGCAAATTGGTAAAGAAATAACACACAAAAAATTGTATTTAAAAACTACATCGAGAACTCAACAAAATAAGAGGTGACAAGAGTATTTTAGTTTATCAAATGATCAACAACCTTACATATAATTTCACTCAGATCAGATCAAATCAGACTAGATCTTAACATATTAGATCAGACAAGATCAGATCAAATAAGATATCATCAAATTACATTAAATCGTTGTTGGAAGAATTACATCAAATAAGATATCATCAAGTTTTCCCTCTTCCTAATTTCATTCTCCCTCTTCCCAATTTCATTCTCCCTCTTCCCAATTATCACCAAATTCATTTTCCCTCTTCCCAATTTCATTCTCCCTCTTCCGAATTATCACCAAATTCATTTTCCCTCTTCCCAATTTCTCTCTCCCTCTTCCCAATTATCACCAAATTCATTTTCCATCTTCCCAATTTCATTCTCCCGCTTCCTAACTTTGTTTTTCCGTTCAAAGAACATCACACACTCAATAGCCCAACCTTATCCGACCTTAATCGCCATCGCATCTGTGTTGTTCGAGAGCAAAGGATTCGCCGATTCGCCGAGAGCCTTCGCCATCAGTCCCATCCATCGCCAATTCGCTGAGAGCCTTCTCCATCAGTCCCACTGCCCAGCGCCGACTGCCCAGTCACCAATTCATAGCCTTCGCCGTCAGTCCCACGCCATGGAAGGTACTAATCACTCGAAGTTTTATCTCTCCGATTCTATTGAATCCGGACACTTTTGATGGCTAATCTTGTGATATGTTGAGCGGTTTGCGATACCCCTCATTCTTTTAAAGCTTGATTTCAATTTCATTTGAATTCCCTTTTGATTTGAGGATTTTTGGGATTCGTATGTACTGGATTTGGACTGCGATTCTGTTAATTTTTGCTTGCTTTTTTTTATTAACTTTGTTGTTTATGGTGTTTTAAGAACACTTATTTGAGGGATTGAAATTTGTGGAATGACCTGCTGTTCTTGACGATTATGAACTGTGTTCTTGCCTTCGTACTGGTGTTCTTGCTCTATGAACTCAGTTACTGCCTGGGTGAGGCCATGCTATTATTTTTGCCACATTTTTGTATAATCTGTGTGGGTGCCGTATGGACAGTGGCATGACTTCCTACTGTCATTGCAGGTTCGGTTCCTTCTGCGTATCTTATGCTTGGACGTATTCTTCGTTCTTTTAGACCAGTCGTGACCATACTTTTACTTCGGAATTTTGAAACACATTAGGTGTATTATTTACTAATTTGGGTCATCTCTAGGTGTCGTGTATCCCGTTTTGTTTTTCGAAAGGATCTAGGTTGGTTGCACTCCAAAATTAGTGCAAATTTGGCTTCCAGGATGCCACGTGTGTAGTACAAGCTACTTTACAGGGTTACTACAAGTATTTACCTTGTAGAATAAAATTGTCTCATGAGAAACAAAGAGTCAGTCTAACGTGTTCTATTTACTAAGTTGATATGCTTGATAATGCTTTTTATGTTGGTGTCTATAACATTAAGGCACGCTTATGTTTTTATATATTTTTTCACTTCACTCTTTATTTTATGTAGACGATAATGATAAATTAGTATTAACTGTGTGATTTCTCTAGCTACTGAACAAGGATAGGAAGGCATGGAGAATTAAGAATTTTGCTGATATTTCTCTACATCCAAAGAAAGATTCACCTGAACTAAGCATTGAGAATTAAGAATTTTGCTGATATTTCATCACAATGACAATATTAACGTGCATTAGTTCTATTACATTGAACACTAGTTTTTTAGTATGTTTATTATTCACAATTAGCTCACTGCCTATACTCAATTTTATTCAGGTGCTGGGTCAAAATAGATGAATTGAGCCATGTAATGAATCTAGTGGCAAATTATGCTTGTACACATTCAGTTTCTTGGACTATCATTCCTAGTATATCTAGTTGTGTTATTATTTTCTCTAAAGTTTTCAACATGGGCTTGATGAGTTTTTGACATTTGGGTTGTTCTGCTGGGTTAAGTTGGCTCTTAATAGCCTTATTCATGAGATTTTCTGCTACAGTTTGCTATTACTAGCTTTGTTCTAGAAGTTTGCTGCTTCTGTTTGGCTTGCATTTAAATTTTTTTCAATAAGAATTTCCTTTTCTGCAAAAAAACTCATGCATCCTCTACTCTCAATCATCATCTTGTTTTTAACTATAGAAGTTCCTTAGCTTCTTGAGTAATTGCATTACACCATATTATACATTATTTGTTACATAATTATTGGAGCTAGCTAGCTTCTTACACCACGGGTAATCTAAATATGGAAAATATCTTCATTGAACATTCTTACCATTGATGTTTATTTTAATACTTAGGTTTATTAGTTTTGTTTGTGTATATATAGAAGTTCATTTTTGTTGCAGTGGAACCAGCAGATAAAGTTAAACTAAAACTTGAAGCTCCCGGAGTTGTTGTCACATGAAGCCTCTAGAGGGATTGGAAGACCCATTTCAAGGAATTGAAGTTACTTCTACAGCTTTGAAGTGTTTGGCATGTTTAAAGAGAAGTTTTGATTTTGTACATTGTACGTTCCAAATGCTAGATGTTGGTCTATGTATTAGAGTTGTAATACTTATGCATGTTTTTCATGTAATAACATTTATTGTTTTGTTACGGAGTAAAACATACTCCGTATGTCTACTCTTAAAAAGTGAAATAATTTAAAAAAAATGTATGTGTGAGTACGATTGTAGTAGCTAGTCTATAATAGTATTTTTTTAAAATATAAAGTGAATTTAGACGGTGGATAAATATCTGCCGTCTAAAGTAATAACTTTACACACCGATTAAATTTTTCTTTAGACAACAAAAAATATCCGATGTATATTCAACCGATGGGAAAAGTCATAACCTTAGACAACGGATATTTAGCCGATGTCTAAAGTCTAGACAACGGATAGATATCCGATGTATAAAGTCAAGACTTTTAAATTGGTTGAATGTACAACGGATGTTTTTCGCTGTCTAAAGCTAAATTTATCCGATGTGTAAAGCTTGTTTTGTAGTAGTGAGAGCGTATCCATTTTAATTGTAAAAACGATTACCGTTACTCTGAACCATTAAAATAGTTCTAGGCTTAAGAGCTAGACTACTGTTTAAAACGAGTATTGTTAACTTTATTTATTATAGATAACTATGAAAAAAACGGTGGGACACACACTACTAGTAATACATTACGGTTTCTCAAAACATTAAAAATAGTTCTAGGCTTAATAGTCTAACTACTGTTTAAAAAGGGTATGCTTAATTTATTATAGACAACTTGTAATAGATTACGGTTTCTATGAATTTAAAAAATAGTTCTTGTTGGAGTTGTGCCCTGATGGCCAACTGTTTATCATTATTCTATTATGTATAGGCAGATATAATATGTTTACACATCTCATGCTAATGTAAACAAATATTATATTCCTAGATTTATATTTAAAGATGTTTATCAGATAGTGTTATTCTGCTGATGAGACTAACATCTTGAAATAAATATTTACCTAAATGTCTATAGTCGAGTATTAACGAGAGTGGGATATCGTTAATGCATGTGAGACTAGTGTGTGTTGGATGTTTGACTTAGTCTCATGGTCAATGATGGTGTGTTCGCATCCGCACATGGGCAGATATTATCTACAGATAATAGGATGCCGGACTGACCCATTCTAAAGATGTTGCTTGAATTTTTAGTTGATGCTCTAAGCATCTTTAGCGCGACCACGGGTGTAACTATCCTTCGACTTGAAGTATTACGTTTTCTGCATATGTGAACCCGCATACTTTGATGCATTGTCCTAAGCCATATGAAATAAGGATGGTATACAGGCTTTGTTTTGCGTATGCCGCAGCGCGTATTCAGAAACGTAGATTACGTACATAGGATTTGTCACTACTCTTTTTAAAGAGATTAATGTCTTATGGGGCCCACTGATAAGTTATGACTAAGGAAATTGCATGGCCATGCCGAGATGCTTTTATGACGTCTGTTCCTATTAGTCGGACTTGATAAATCAGTGAATGACTTAATGGATACAAGTTGGATTTTATTAATCCCTTGCATTGAGTTTAGACATTGAGACAAAGGGATACAGTTACACGGAGTCTGAGTCGTGGAAAGGTTTTGACAGTGCAAACGTCTTAACTTATAATCTAGGGGCAATAATGTGTTGCTAGATACCGCTTATTGCTTATAGTATTGGTGCAGAGCCAATACTGTGGCTAGCTTTATAAGTGCCTATACGGGTCACACACTTTGGACAATTTAAGGAGTAGGATTAAACAATGGGATAATAAGTAATTTGTATATTTGTAAAATAGTAAAATAAAATATTTTGGAATATAATATTATATATATAAATATTCGGTTATATATATATATATATATATATATATATATATATATATATTGTATATTGAATATTTTATTTTGGTTTGTCATTTTAATTATGAAAATAATTATTTTGACATAAACTATTTGAAGTATATTTTATACTTGTTTAAAAATGACATGGGTATTTTTTTTGATTTAAAATTAATTTTATATTAATTTTTGGTGTCAAATAAAATACACTTTGAACATTTGAGTGGAGAAGGATTTTAAATATCCTTCTCAAATCAAAACTTTCGGCCATATGATAAAATGGATTGACAAATTGCTAATGTTTTGCTTGATTGATAAATTAGTGGACTAAATAATTTTGTCATTTAGCTAATGACCAAATAGTGGAGCATCTTTGTTTTATTTAAACAATTCACTCCATTTTGCTAATGTAGCTTTTTTTATTCGGCCATACCATTTTAAGAGAGAGAAAAATATTATTTTGGTTCTATAAATATCATTTTGTGTATAGAAAATATCTATAATATTTTCTAAATATTATTAGAAATATTTTCTATAGAAATATACAAGATTATTATTATCCCAAATTTTAATCTTTATATTTTATACTACTATAATCTTTACTAGCATAAAGATTGCGGTAGACTCTGGCGTTGTTCGTGTGTCAAAGTTGGAGACCGGACGCTTGAACGGTTACGTTTGCACTTTCAACGCTCTTCCTACGACTTCTTTGTTTTTACCGCTTACGGAGAAAGATATAAATTTATTACTACTATATGTTTTAGTACGTGATTCTGGGCAAGATAATCATGTTAGGATGTTAAAAATTTTAATATTCTGATGTCTATCCTTGCATGGTTACCTTTCAGTGGTATCAGAGCCAACGTACAAAACTATAGTTTTACGTTTGACTTTTAAAATTTTAAAAGTCAAAGTTTTAACTTGTTAATTACTAAATTTCAAAAATTGGTAAAATGATTTTATTTAGTCTTGGAATGAGTATTGGACTTAAATAAATCATTGAGAATAAATTTTAAATTTATTTGTTTTATTTCTACCCGTAATATATATATATATATATATATATATATATATATATATATATATATATATATATATATATATATATATATATATATAAATACATATATTTTGATTTTTCGAAATATATATTTATATATATTGTAGAAATAGTAAATATAATTTTATTTGGATATAAAACATAATTTTATGATTGATAAAATTATATTGTAATTTTTGAATGCATTATTTCCTATTTTGAATTTATTGTATTTATTTAGGTCAAAACCGAAAATTAATATGGAAAATTTAAAATGAACTTTATTAAACTTGGAAATATTATTTCTAAGTTCAATAAGGTTGTTTATAAATATACTGTTCAAAATAATATTAGTTAGTAATTAAATAAGTATATATTTATATATGTACTCGGTTTTATTACCGAAATATTATATATATTTATATATTTGTATTTTAATTACATAAATGACTAATATATATTTTGGAAAGTTATATCTCAGTAAGAAAAAGAATGTTTTTCAAAATATTAAATTTTTATAATTTAATGTTTTCGAAAATAATTTAAATGGCATTTTATAACTTATTGAGATTTAACTAATATATTTTGGAAATAATGATTTATTAATTTTGGAAATTTTATTTCCAGGTTTATAAATGTTGAAAATAATTACTGGAAGTTGAAATTTAATTTTCATGATTTTTGCAAAATTGTTTCAAAATTTTAATGGCCTTTTTGAATATAATTTTGCAAAAGGGAATTTTGGTCATTTGAAATATTCTGGAATTTTTTTTTTATGCTGGCCGAATATCCAGATTATATAAAATGATTGTATAAAAATTTATTTGATTTATTTGGACATCTAATTTAATTTTATGAGTTTTAGAAAATATTTACTGCCGTAGTATTTTTCTAGAAGTGTCTGGGGTGAGCGCAGTTCACCCGGTGTATGTATATCTCTATTGCTTGTGTGGATGTATGATATGCATGGTGGATGATTGTGGCTATAGTTTATTTGATTATAATACGGCCTGCGTGTCGTGCCTTATCTCATAAACTCTTGTTGTAAATCTATTTCTCTCTCTTACCTCAATCGAGGATTCTTTTCTCACGTGGTGGTTAGAAGACGAAAAGATTTGAAGACCGTTTGAAGAAATCTAAAAGAATGGAGATAGCCCGAAGTCTAAGTGCCCGAAAGCCAGTGGGAGCTATCGTTTTATTTTTCTTTTAGGGGCCACAATCATTACACGTTTATTTACTGCGTTTTGTGAATGCATGTTGAATGTATGTTGAACGCTAGTAATGGACATGTGCGCGGCCATGTCGATAGGTGAGATCGAAATTATAAATCCCTCAGGAATATTAAGTCTGTCGCCTTCTGACGCCCGGCACCTATCCGGCTAATGTGCACTGTCATGTACTCAGCCTCAGCAGAGCATAGTACGGTGTATGTTAAGCTGGTTACGGGAACCGCCATAGCGTGGTCGCTGTCGCACGTTGGGTTAGACTTAACTGAGTCTCGGTCAAATGGATGGACGACTCAGAGGCAGTAAGTTGGGGTCATCAATGACAAGTCGGATGATTTTACTCACTCATCCAGCCAGGAGTTGGATCTTTATGATTTAATTGGAACTCTATTCCTAACCAAAGTAGTCTGCTTGTAAGACGTGCCTCAGCCAATTACAAGTA